GGCAGCGGGGATCACCACCCTGCCTGGCAGCACTCGGTGAGTGGGGCTTTTATTTAAAGCACCTGGAGCTGGGGCGGGCAGGGTGGCCATGGGGAGGCTGGGGGAGCGGATGGGGGTTGGGGGCACTGGGAAAGCAGGCAGGGGATGGGCCTGGCAGGGGTCCCCCCATGGCCTCTCCCCGCTCCTCCAGCCCTCTCCCCCACCACCCCCTACTTACCAGCATGGAGTCCAGGTCCAGCTCCCTGCTGCAGCAAGCAGGAACTGCCAGAATCGCCGAAGCTCTCCAAATCTTTTCCAAATCAATTCAGAGAACTTCAAATTAATTTGGACCTTTTAATTGGTCCCCTGATTCAATTCAAATTAAAAAACTGGGCTGAATCTCCTCTGAATCGAATCAACACCCAAAGCTTCGCACAGCCCTAAAACCCAGCTCAGTAACAGATCCCTGCCTGCCTATCTGTAATATAAATTTTGAAGACTAAATCTGATAGATTCCATAATTTCAGCGCATTCTCTGCATGGGTCAGGAAAAAAAATGTATTATTTCTACTGAAAACTGGAAAACCTCAACATCAAAATGTTCCAAGTTTCCCATCCTATCCATTGGTTGAAGCTAGCAAATTAATGACCTCAGAAGCAAATCAGCCAATCATCATTTGGTCATGCCAATTTGTTTGCATACTTCAGTCTGATTGGTTTAAATGGATAAATAAATAAAACTGCAAGTCAGAACTAAAGTGTTCTTACAAAGTTGAAGTAGGTACAGGAGTTCAAGATTAGGAGAATGGCTTAATTTGACTAAGGCTGGAGATTTGCACTCAGCAGCACATCTGGTTTAGACAAAATCCATTTCTTTTATCAGCACTGCTATTTTTCTCTTTCTAGCACTAAATGGGCATTGCCAAAGAGAGAGATGATTAAAGCAGGTCAAGGGTTTGAGGTTAAGGTTAAGATTTGGATTACTAGAGAGAATTACCAGAGACAGCTTGATATCACAATACCACCACTGAGACTCCTCTGCCTGCTGCACCAGCTGGGTATTGCCAAGAGAAAGTTAGGTTGCTATGAAAAAACAAGGCAGAGGAGGAGCAGCTTAGACACCTTAAAATGGAATGCAAGTTTAGTGGCAATATCTAATAAAATGTCACTACGCTCAGGGTTAAAGAGTGAGGCTCCCTCCTGTTCCTTCCTTAATATTTGATAACCCAGGACTCATTTCACCCGGTGAGAAATGTCGAACATTTTAACTGCTGAATGTTTTAAAGTGTACATAGCTCCAGGAGAGGATCTAGGATTCTGAAAAGGGGGGTGAGGCAGAAAGCTGGCTGGCATGGGGAGGGTGACTGGTGGAGAAGACCAGCAGCTGACACAGAGCTCTCAGGGGTGGAGAGTTCACTCTGTATGTGCTATGGTCAAAGGGGGATGCCCTTGCACCCCCCTTGATCTGTCCCCAGCACAGCCTCTATATTACAGTACAATGTCTGGTCTGGAATCTATCAGCCTCTACCTAGCCAATGTTCTGAAGTTATCTTGTTTCCAACGTATACTCTGCAAACTTACACAAATGCCTCAACACATTTTAAAATAGTGAATTGGTTTAGTCTTTTGCTTGCATGCACTCCTCTTTCTCTCTGAAATTGTAAAAAGTAATCTCTGAGAGGAAAGATTTAATCAAAGTCAGCTTTGCTAATTACTTTGCTGACACCCTGGGAGAGGAATGTTGGCACCAAAAAGGACTGGAAGATTTTCATGATTTATATTTGATAAATTGGTAATTGGATCATTTGATTTTGCTGTCTCCTTTGAATTGAGGTTGCAGTTTTTTGTTGAAATTGATGTTTATGAATTCTGGCCACAAATGCTGAGAATAGTCTGACAAGTCAAAGTAACCTGAGATAGCTGAAGTACTAACTCCGTGGTATTGGTAAAATGGGACTGCCCAGGCCCAGCTCGATACAGATGGAATACAATCTAGAAGGCGTTCATGTGGGAGAGCAACAAATGAAATTTCTGAAGGGAGTTAAGATTGCATTTTTTTCAGTGGTTTTACAGGCAATGCCAGGGTTTCAACATCAGTCTTAATTAGCAAGCAAATGAGATTTGTATGTGACAACATGAAAATAATACACTAGTTAAGAGCAATATGTAATGACTGTTTAATGAAATAATTAATGAAAATTCTGATATTATGAATGCTTATGATTCAAAGATTAGTAAAAAGGTTTTGCTCCTGTTCTCACTGAGGTCTGTGGAATTCAATGACAGCAGAATCAGCCCTCTCCCATGTGTGTCATTATCAGATGGAGAATCAAGTATGATTGCTATAGGTAATAAAAGCGGCATATTCTTTTTCTGATTTTTAGATACTAAGTTATGCACTGTAACCTTTAGATTTGTTTTATGCTCATAATACAGAAGGAAAGAAAAGCAATCATCTATAAATAGCTGTTTTATAACTGAAATAAATGGAAAACCATGTAAAGTGTTCATTCACTAAGGGATTTGAACATATTTGCAAACAGATAAAAGTTGCCTTTCCTTATCCAACATCTCTGTCCTGAAAAGACAGCAAAGAAATAGCAAAAATAATAGGAAAGGCTTCTTAATCCTGTTACCTCTAATGTGGTTTTGTGTGGTTTCCCTCCATATTAAAGATGGAAGCACACGTATGTTTTGTACACTTAGCTTCAAAGTAGAGATGTTGTTGTGGCATTACACACAATTTTATTTCAGTGTTTAAATAGTGTCATTCATGTGCATAGTTGTGTGTGTGTGTGTGTGGAAAGAGATCCACAAATCTCATACTCTAAATTAGATAAAATTTGGAAAAGCATGGAGAACAAATTTATATAAGTAAAATACTGAGTCTAGCTTTAACACATATGTTACTAGTTTCAAGAATCTCCCCACCCCATATCCCAAAATTCTAGTTTTACATTTCTATTGTAAGGCAAGCTATATTATAGGATTATGAGGTCAGGCAGGAAAGCCAGCCTGAATGGTTGCCTTTATTATCACCCGAGAGAAGTTCAGAATTTAAACAAATGTATACTTGAGGAGGGAAACTATTGTAAACTTGGGAATAGCACAAGAAAAAGCTCAGGATCAAGTTTAGTGGAAATGGCTTTGTAAAAGGAGTTGAAAGGATGTACTTCATGGGAAGGTTGTTGAGGAAGCCAAGACAGTGTCAGAGAAGATACTATGGGAATGAGGGCAGCATTTGAACTTAATGTGAAGTGAGACAAGAGACATGAGACAGAAAAAGCTAAAGACTTAGATATAGCGCCTCAAGCCAAAAAGGAGAAATTCACTACAGCCTATGTGAGAGATAGTGATGGAGAGGACCAGAGTTCAAGGAAACACAGACATAAAAGGGTAGGTTTGAGCTGAAAAGGTAAAAACAGCAAGATTTGTTGAAAGGAGGGAGCAAACTAAATGATGTTAGGATTTTGAAACTGCATTGCTGTAAAGGCAAAAGGGAGTGAACCTCCCAACCCTCTTGGAGGCTCCATATATTTACTCTATTTCTCTGTTCTGGCTGAGCTATATTTAGAATAACGAGAAGAACATAAATAGCTCTAAAAATCCATCTTTGTATTTCCCCTTTTCTTGGGCCAGCAGGGAACCATTCTGGGCAACCTTTGAGCACCCTGACCTGCTACCTCCGCAGGCTGGGAAAAGAGTGGAGTGAATATGTCCTACATGCACCATCTAGTGACTCTTCTTTTGCCAGCAGAATTTCCTGAGCCTGGGTTGCTGGATTCCAGTTTCTGTTTCCTGCCAGAGCAGCATAAGGGCTTGGAACACATCGGGTGCGTCCTGATGAGTGCACATGTGCACCTTTCCTGCAGGACAAATAGCAGTGGCAGCTGCTATTTGTCCCTGGGTATGCCCCTGCACGCACATTCCAGCATGTGGCAAAGTGACCCTGGGGAGGTAGGGGAGGCTAGGGCCAGCAGAAGCCCAGCAGCCTTACTTGGGCTCCTGTGGGCCTCCTGGGGCAGCAATGGCACTAAGCTGGGCGCTCAGAGCCTAGCCAGCAACCAGCACTTGGCTCTGGCAGGCCAGGTTCCCTTCTGACGGTGCACGCTGATGCCACGTGCACTGCACTGCTTTTTTTAGCAGGGGTTGTTGTTCTTTTTGACACTGCAGTAAACAAGTGCACCTGCACCACATGCAATCTGCAGTGCCTAAACTGCTTTGAGGCACCGCAAATTGCAGGTGAGTGCTAGTTGGGACATGTCTGGGGGGGTAAGGTTCAGAGTGTATGTTTGGTTTATAATCTGAAGATCAATTGTGAATCAACAAAATTAGTTTAAGTGAATTGCATGAATTGGTAAGAAAAAGAATAAACATAATCTGAAAAACCTAGTGCATGGAGTTATGTGCAGAATGATCTTTGCTCATTAAGTTTACATTTCTGTAAAAGTGTATGCCACTTCTGCAGACCAGACCCCAGACCTCCTAAAGGTGGAATCAGAAAGTTTTGTTAACGAAATGAAAAAGAATAAAAACTGTGATTCACTGAGAATAACTTATGTATGTATTTATTGTTTGTTTGCACCAGAGGTTTTTGGGTACAGTGCATTTTGGGGAGAGATTTTTCAAAGGCAGATATAGCAGTTAGGTTCCCAACTTTCAATGAAACTTCAACATCCACTTCCCTTTGTCTCTTTGGAAAAGTTTGCAGAGGCAAGTGTTTCTTAGGGTAATATCTTTTTGGACCAAATATGTAGTAGGTATAAAGTTAGACAAGCTTTTGAATGCAAAACATTTTTCAAATGCAAGAAAAGTGTATTTTATCAGCTTTCCCAAATGGGAGGAAGGACACTTCCTGCCTGAAAGCTTATCAAGCACCTCTTTCAACTATACAATTTGTCCAATAAAAGGCATCATCAGCAACCCTTTGATTCTCGCACATTTCCTGGACCATCAGGGCTACACAAACACTCCAAAATCACTATATGGGGTTTAGATAAGTAGCGACTGACACCTGGTGGCCATAAGCAGTACTGCACCTTCCTATAACAGGATGTATTTACCTCTGTATTCTTGTATGTGAATCCAGAACACAGCCTCAAGAAATACATCATACCAATACGCATCTTAGATGTGCCAATAAAATAACAGCAACTAGAACACAAAGACCCTTTTGAAAAGGCAGTAGGGATGATATTCAGTTTGTTTCAAAACTCTACCTGTAGGTTAACTGTAACTGAAAAACAGATGGCCATTAAGAATCTTGAGTGGAGGACTACATTGGGAGTATCCTCATATCCAGGCATGTACCATGGAATAGAAGGGCAACATTTAGCCCTTTTATTCCAAGGGCACTTTTGAATGGGAGACTGAATACAAGACAGGCAATTTAATGAACAGCTGAAGGGATGGTAAAAATCTAGGAACATTGACTGGTATATAGAACTCCCAGTGGTTTCTCTATATCTTTCTGTTGCCCATGTGGATATCCCTCTCATTCTATTCTCTCTCCCTTCTCCGGATGCAGCAAAGCACTTAAACAGGTTTAGGAGGATGGTTCAAGTGCTTAATTTTAAGCACATGCTTGCTTGTTGTGCTGGATTAGAGCCATAGTACACACCATTAGTACCATTACCTAAGAATCCACAGGTGACTGTGTGGAAGAAAGCAGGCATTTTGTCTCCATTCCATTGACATATATTAGTATGTTTCAATACTCATTGCTTGCTTAGTATTTGCATTTATTAAGTCCTGATGTTTGACAGTAGGCAAGAAAAAAAGGTTACATTGTGATAAAACTTGCCTCAAAGAATTTGTGGTGAAGATAAAGACAAGATGTGTCAGAAGGGAGGTAAGGCATATGGGGAAATGGGATTTAGAAGTTACCTTAAAGTTATGCTACTTGGCTGGGTTTGATTGTATGAGTAGTTGTACAGGATTTCTCTGTCTTCACTGGAATCTTAGAAGCAAATACTGGTCCCAGTGGGATCTGACATTGATGCCAAGGGGCTCAGGATTTAACCTGGCTTTGCTGTTATGGAAAGAGCTGACTGCTATATGAAACATTGTTTTAAAATTATGCATTTAAACCCACTTCTTACCACTTCCTCCTACTGCTACACCTTTCTTCCATAACAATGTTTTTGTTATGCAAACATTTAGACCCTCATTCCACTGGTTGCCTATGAGATCCTGAAAGATTTTTTTTCCCCTCATTAATACTTATTGGCTTATGGTGGGTTTTGTCTCCATCTGAGGCATCTGAGGATACTGGCCACAGCAGGAGTTTTGACTGGGGTATGCTGGTACTTCTACTCTCAAGTACATGACTGGAAAAACTTGCTCCTTTCCTTGGGGTCATAGCGATCCCTAGATTTGACATTTGGAAGGAATTAATCCACCTTGTGAGACTGACAAGGACAGTGGGGGATATTGCATTCGTACATCAGTGTAAAATCACCTGATCACAGGTGAACCTAATGACTTCATTGCAGCAACAGGGCATGAGCACCCTCACACCCCTGCTTTGTAGCACATTGTAGGGGATTTTTAGTTTTGTTTTCCTAATGTGTTTCATGAGTACAATGTGGGTATTTATACATATGTTTGCATCGCAGCACTGGGCACTTTTAAAAGCACCGAATGCTGCATCACTTGCAGTTATATAAGTGGCAAAATGCACATGAGCACTCAGAAAATGGTGGCAGTGTGCTTTTGAACTAAAAGACATCGAAAGTGTTTTAGTTCAAAAGTACACTACTGCAATTTTCTGCGCACTGACGCATGTCGCCGCATGTACAACTGCACAAGACACAGTACAGTGCATGTCAGCTCACATGCAGAGAAGACTCGAAAATCAAAAAGGTATGTGTATAAATGCCCTGTGAGAGAAAAGGATTGGAGGGGACAATTTTTAAGGCTATTTTCTAAAGAGCTTCCTGCAAATGCATGATGCTGGCCTCAATGGCCCTGCGTTCTAAATGTCTAAAGCTGTACACCAGGGGTTTTCAACCTTTTTTAATAAGTGTACCCCTGTCAGCCCCCTTTTTAATAAGTGTACCCCGGGGGGGGCGGTGGCAAGCAGCCAGACACTGAGTGAAGGGGTGGCGAGTGGCAGCAGAGCAGCGTCTGTGCGGCCCTGCTCTCGCCCCACCCTGGACCTGTTCCTGGGAGGCAGAGGCGCGGGGTGGCAGTGCTCCATCCCCATCCACCCCCACATACCCCCTGGGATCTTTCAAACTACCCCCAGGGGTACATGTACCCCCCGGTTGACAACCCCTGATGTACAGCATACGTCATCATATTTGGGAACGTACATTAGGACAAATATACTCAAGAGGTTTCCTCTTAGATGTAATCAAAGTAAAACAGTATTTTTGTTCCAAATCTTTTCCTAGCCATTGGCTGTATGGTGGTGGCACACTGATCTCACTGCCTTATCAGAAATACTGCAGCTGAAGCCTGCACTGGCACGGCTCCAGGGCCAAGAGAGTGAACGCTCTCTCGTGCCTTGGCTGTTCCCCAGCTGCCAAATTTGGTGGTGGGAAGGTAGGTGGGGGGACAAACAGCAACAGCATTCACGCCCTGGGTCCCAGAGCCATACCAGCGCAGGATCCAGCAACTGGGTGGACAAGCCAATAACTTTGGAGAACTTGCTGCATAATGTGCAACATAGCTGAATGGGGCTGCCCCTGACCATAACGTGACCTGATCCTGTCCCGTGGAAATTGTGTAATGCATATAGCTGACATGTTCAACATTAAAGGATTTGGAGTATGAAAGCTGCTCCAACCACTGGAAGTCCAGTGCGTTGGAGCACATTTGATTAACAAATCTGCTGGGGCCTGGCAATGACGGCGCTCCAGCACCCTCCCGCACTTCAGGTATCAGTGTCCCGGCACTTAAAAACAGTGGCGACGCTTGAACTAGAGCTCAATGAATGAGCTTTAGTTCAAGTGCCCCCAACATCACTTTGAAGCGTGGGGGCACTGATCCGCAAAATGCGGTGGTGCTTTAATTAGAGCCACCAAGGCTAGGGGAGACGTCACTCACGTGATTGGGAACAGGTTTAAACCCCTAGCACAACAGAAGTTCAGTGCACAGAAACTGGTTTCAAAATGGGCAAAACCGGTATAAGATACACTTGGGGGGATGCAGTACCAGCCTTCACTGATTTAGGTTAAGCTCCTGTGTATATGCGTGTGTTAAGCTGGTGTGTAGTGTGTGTGTCTGTGTGTGTTTTAAGCTGAAGGAGGTGTGCGTTTGCGTCCGTCACCCTTTGTGGCGTCACAACGCTGATTGCAGCGCAGCACAGGCCGCACCCGGCCCCTCCCATCGACCATCCACGCATCGATTGCCCCTGCCTGCTCCGCGGCTCCTCCCCCGCCCCCTCGATCAGCGCGAGCGTCCGCTCGTC